AATACAGATTGTTGGGTTTGCAGTCGGACTTGTTCCTCAAATTCGACAACTGCTAATTGGTGATGCTGCCCCTCTTCGTGTACTCCAAGATACTGCTCTGTTCCTTGGGTATGCAAATTATTGACATTTCTATAATTACATTTTACAACGCCTATGTTCACACACGGTTAGTCACATGTTCTCCTCTTCCTTTATTTTTTGACTAAAGTGATGGTAGAATATGAAATATCAAATGATTAAGGGTTCAGTAGGATTCCCCATTCGACACTAAGTAAAGATGAGCTGTTCTGATATAATAACGGCATTACCACCATTTCCCCCCTCATTTAATAAAGCTGTTAGGTTCTTTCTGTGAAGAGGCTTCATTCTTGTTGTTTTCCATGTCATATTATATAGCTTGATATATATTGCTTCATGAAGAGACTAAAATGTGCTGAATATTCTTTGTTTTATATTATATGGCTTGATATTTAGTTCAACAGAACAAGGATACAATGACTTCTTGAAGATTATCTAAGACTGAATGTTTTCTAATCCCCATTTTCCAGAATTTGTTAGAATTTCAAAATAAAAAAAAAAAATAAATAAAATTGTGCGACTGTTTCTCTTCCTCTGCATATTTTTTCCCCAAATGGTGCTTGCTCTTTCTCCGTATTGTTGAAGTATGACAGATCACATGCAACAGTTCACTCTCATGCAACACAGGAGCCCGTTCTTTTCTTATTTTCCTCAAGCAAAAGGAGTGTTTGTTTTTAATGCGTTTTTCTTTAGTTGTAAGTTTTATTTTGAATGGTGAAACAGTGTCGTTTTACATCAAACAGAATAATTCAAATTAGGCGGTATACATAGGGGCACGTTTTTTCTGTTGCATTTCACTTTTTAGGCAATGAAAATTCATTTGGATCATTTCAGATATTTTTTATGAATTTCTTCTACACCTGTTGAGGAGTTTTGGTACTTTTCTGTTATTTCACTGATAACAATAATCTAATACTTGTTACTCATTGCAGGGATGCTGCTGTTCCATCTATCACACTGATCGTGGGTGGGAACCTTTTGAAAGGTTGAAAAGCTGATAAACTTTTTAAGCCTATAAATTTCTAACAATGATCATCTTCGGCTATATACACACACACATATATATATATGTATGTATATGTATACATATTTATTGTGATTATCAGCTTGTATCAGGGAAAAGAAAATGAGCATCCTTTCCTGNTTGGGCTGGAAGCTGATGTTATTCTATTTTTTATTGTTTGCAACATTCCCCAAGTTTACCAACTTTAGTCACCAAAGCTTGACTTATTATTATTTCTATTTTATTTCAGGTCTGAAAGGTACAACAATTCAGAAGTCCATTATTTTCGGCATCCTAGGTGTTCGATACGTTGTCATGCCTCTGCTAGGCATTGTCATTGTTAAAGGGGCAGTCCGTTTTGGTTTTGTGCACGATGATCCTCTTTATCAATTTGTCCTGCTGCTGCAATTTTCACTTCCACCAGCAATGAACATAGGTATGTTCTTCTCTTATTTATATCAAACTTTTGTACTTCTAATTCTGGTCATGTATGTCGGCCTCATTAGAGTTCACATGCACTAGTTTTTCCATTGCAATAACCTCTAGTTTACACACAAGAATCTTTAAATTAGTAGGATTGTACTTTTCAGACAAATAGTGAAACCCAACGAAAAGGAAAGGAATGAATATATTAAAATTATCAAGTACGGTATTACACTATCTGCAGTAAGACTGTTTGTAATGTATGATGAAAGGAAAAGGTTAAAATGACGAATAGCAGTACTGAGTTTTAGCATAATTATAATAACCTCAGTTACTACAGCTCCCATGATTTTTCTTTCTTTAGTGGGGGTAATTATGAAGCAAATACAAACCTCAATTGGTCTTTTGTGTCACATTACAGAGGTATCTGTGCTTAATAGGAAAAGAATAACCAGAATGTTCTTTTTATTTAGGCAAACCCGTGGTGGTAATGATGAAAAAAGTAGTCTTGAAGATATCATGATATGAGAATTTGCTAGAGGCAAATATAACTGCTAAGTAGTTTTTTTTATGTACTTGTTTTTTTTTTTTCCGGCTGTTACTGCTGATCATATGATTTTAAGGTATAATATTGATCATCACTCTTTGCAACAACCAGGAACAATAACTCAACTGTTTGGTATGGGGGAGAATGAATGCTCTGTGATTATGCTGTGGTGTTATTCAGTGGCTTCTGTGGCTTTAACACTCTGGTCAACATACTTTCTGTGGCTTGTGTCCTGAAACTCAATATAAGTGTTCTGTCGATCACCACAAGTCACGACTAAGGCTATTTGGACGGGTGCATGGTGACTGATGCAAATTTTTGGCTTTAAGGGAACAAAAGAAAAAGACAATTCGGGATTCTGCATTTTCAGAAAGATCAAAGTTGGCACAAACAACTATTCAGAGTTTCATATTGGGGAAAATTTTGTTCCTTAGATGTTTATTTCATTTATTTGTTTGTAATTAAAGTTCACCAGGAGTCTTAGTAAACCTTTCCTTGTGGACTGCATTCAGTTTATTGTGAAGTCCTGTAGAGGAGAGGAGATTATTTTCAAATTCTTAGAACCGGCTTGTTTATTCTGTAGCTTCATCTTTTGAGATGTGTGAGATATAATGTGGTAAAGAAACAAAAGGTGAAATTGAATAATGGGGGAAAAAAGGAAGTCCAAGGATACAGGGATATTTTCATTTTTTGTGTACTTGAGATTTGACAATACTAGGTGGATATGAGGAACCCTCAAGATGTTGAGAATGAATATTTGAATTACATATCTTGAACAGTGAAAAGGACAAGAAAATGAGATTGAGTTGTATCAATTTGTGATTTCATTCAATTTACATATCTTGAACAATGAAAAAAAAAAGAAAAAGAAAAAAAATCATAGAAAGGAAAACTAAAAAAACGCCATAGTTGTGATAACTGATAATGGCAACCAAAACAGGGAAATAGATCTGTTATAACCAATCACCCATGGATAAGTGCTTACACTCTACCTATTATGTATGCTACAATGATAAAGCACACACACAAGTCTTCATTACTATAATCAGAAAGTCAATCAAAATGGATAACCAATGCTCAAGAAAAGCAAGCGTGTACGAGACATTAAAAGTCCGTCACGAGTTGAGCAACGTTCATAGAACCGACTTGTCAATATCATTGAAATAAGGATGCTCCATAGCTTTCTTTGCTGAAATCCTTTTGGATGGCTCATATTGCAGCATCTCCTGCAAGCATCAAACATTTTTCTTTTCAAATATTAAGGAATGCCCAAATCTCATTTTACTATTTGTAGTTTAATCAAGCAAAGGACTCACAGATAAAAGGTGTAGACCGGTTTCATCCAGTCCAGGCACAGCCGATGAAAGCGGCTTTGGGGTCCATTGTGGGTACTCGTGCCAGTTCACTAACTTGCTAACTCCAGGCCAAACTTCTTCATTTGGAGTTCCCAACAACCTGTGTATGTTGCAGTTCGAATTAAGGTTGCAAAAGTTAAGGCATAATTCACACNAAAAAAAAAAAAAAAAAAAAAAGCCAAACAAATTTGAAATATGCCAATATTAACCTGAAAATGTGGAGAAGTTGCTGCAGCTCAGAGTCACCGGGAAAGAGAGCTTGGGTTGTCACCAGTTCAGCTGAAAGGTAAAAAATTCAACAAGATGATTTGTTAGGACTCTGTACTTGAAATTTCTCATAATACAAAAATTATGGAAATAACACTTCTAAGTATGGAAAATAATCACGCATCCTTCAAAACGGCAAATAAACCTGCAAATATAAACACAACGGAGATAACGTGAACTGATCTTATTATTTAATCAGGATAGAGCTAAAAAGTAAACGAATGGCACTAAAACTATTCAAAACCAGCAAATATGATGAGACGCAAATTGTTCGTACCAAATATACAGGCGACTGACCACATGTCAACAGCAGGTGAGTAGTGTGTAGCACCCAAAAGCACCTCAGGAGCCCTATACCAGAGGGTCAATATCTGCAAATAATTAAAACATTCAATAATTACTAAGAAAAAAAGGAAATAGCTTTGTAGACATGGAGGTAATAAAAGTATTCAAGAAATAACCTCATGAGTATACTTCTTAATAGGCACCGTGAAAGCCCTGGCCAGACCAAGATCTGCTATCTTAAGCATCAATGTCTTACGATCCATCAATAGATTGTGGGGTTTGAGATCCCTAAACAATTACTTGAAGTTAACTCAAACCTAGAGAAGGAAAAAATTAACTTATCCAGATATTCAGTTGAGAAAACGTAGATTTACCTGTGCAGAACACCGTGACCATGACAGAAAGCAACACCTTTGCAGAGTTGATACATTAGGCTCTGCAATTATAAACAGCTAACAGCTTGTGTTAATCTGCAGTAGCATAATAATTGCAGAAAAGATTCTGTGAAAATTCATCGAAACTAAATGGATTTGTAGGAAAACATACTTTGACGATTTTAGCTGGGATATTTTCTCCAGATTGACGGAAGCTGCGGATATATTTCTTGAGGTCTGTATCCATGTATTCGAAAACCAAGTACAGGACTGTCTTGCCTTCCTTGTTCTGGCCTTGTTTCACATCCAACAATCTGTAAATTATGTGATTGGATATTGATTATTTAACAACAAAACAAATCAAAAAGGAACCGAACACAGAATTGTAATATTCAAAACTGAAACAGAACTAACTTATAGATGTTTATAAGCTCTGGTATTGGATCACATGACAACAATAACATGACAAGGTTCCCACAAGTTGTAATTGTAGTCATACTCATCGTGCTTATTCTCAAAACCTAATCAATTTATAACCCAGTTAACAAACTAAGGAAGAGCAGCAATAGAATCAAAAGAAAAACATAAACCCCATGAAGCGATCAAGAAATCCAAACCAAAAAATAAAAATCTGCCCTACCAAAAACATTTGGAGATCGTAACCGAAAATCAATACAAAGAAAAACCCTAAATCAGCAAAGGGGGAAATCAACAAAACGCAGTGGAATGAAAAATGTGCGTAATTACTTGACAACATGGGGGTCCCGAGAAAGCATCCTGAGCAGGGAGACCTCGCGGAGAGTGGTGGGAGGCACCCCTTCTTCATCCTCGTGCAGTCGCGTCTTCTTCAGAGCCACGATTTTTCCCGTCGCTTTCTCTCTCGCTCTGTACACTTTCCCGTAGGTGCCCTCGCCCACTTTCTCCAGTTTCTCGAACGCCTCCATTGCCGATTTAGGTTTCTCCTCCATCTCTCTCACTCTTGTGTAAAAATGATTTTTTTTTTCTTTTCTTTTCTTTTCTTTTCTTTTCTTTCAAATGAAATATGGGAGGGATACCATTACCATATATTGATTTAGCTCTATGGAGTACAACGGCAACATATTTTGAAATTCAAAAACTTTTGAAATTCATGCACCATCATCAAGTTCGGATTTGCCACTAAAACAGTAAAACTAGGTTGCAAGGAATATATTTGTTTGATGTTTTGAGTAATATTTTAAAAATTTTAAAGTGTGAGATATTTCTAAATTTTTTAAGATTTTTTTATTTAAGTGAAATCCTTATACAAGGATTAGATATAAGTTATTTTAGATAGATTTGTTGGATAACTAAAGTTTGTTTTGAAAATGTTGATGGAGTTGAGTTTAATTGAGATTTTGAGTTTGTATTAAAATAATATTTAAAAAATAATAATTAAAGTTGATTTAATTTAAAAGTAGGAGATATATGATTGGAAGTTATGAGTAGTTAAAATTATGCAAGTAGATAATAGTGAATTAAAGTTGGTGTAATGTGTGAGGATGATCGATTGATATAATTTAATTATATCAACAATATAGAATATTGTTAACTTGAGTTAAATTTGAGTTTTTTAGTTAAAAAAAGTATCTGGTCAAAAGTGACCAAATAATCTACATTCAATTAGGGCCTTAGAAATATCATTTTTGGGGGTGAGAATTGGTGTAAAATTTCATTTATGTAATTTTTCTTTGAAATCCCATAAAATCTTATAACATTCAAGCAAAATACTAAATAAATAAATACCTCATGACCTTTTAAACTTGCTAAAATTTGAAACAATTGTCTTGTGATTTGTTAAAACTTTTTAAAAATTTCAAATGAATACATCAAGATTAATGAATACACCCTAATGGTGCCTCGAGGTGACCATGGGTCGATACGGTTCAGATATTACAAAATCTCCAAAACTGTACCGAACTTTGAAGATCACTAAGATTCAATCTCTAAAACTGTTCTAAAATTCGGTTCGGTTCCATTCGAAGATTTTTATTTTGCAGCTCGGTTCAGTTTGATATTCGAGACTATCGAGACGATTGACTTCAATTTGATTTGGTTCGGAACTTTGGAGATTTCTAATTATTTTCTGTTTTTGTTCAAATGACTATCTAATTATATTTAAATTTTGATATATTCTTTTTAAAATTCTAACATTCATCAATATTTAACCATATTAAATATTTTATTTGAAGTTAACTTTAGAAAAATTGAAGTGCCTCAAAAAAACTAAATTTTTGGAACTAATAATGGAAATTAGATATGCAAATAAAATAAAATATGATTGTTGTTTTAAGTATTTCTTTAACTTTTCGTACTATTTAAATTATAATATGGGATAAAACTAAAAAAATATCAATATATATAATACAAATTCATTTTTCACTTAATTATAGATTAAGTATTATTAAGCATGAAATTTAAGTGAAGTTTAATCGTAATTACTATGTTGATCAACGGATTTGATCAACTTACATTAAGAAATTTAGTGTGGATTTTCAGTAATTATGGCTGTAAAAATCGAATTTGGATGGTGAGTTTTCGTAATTTTATTGAGGTCAGATTTCGTCTTAATACGGTATTAAANTTACAGTGAATTTAATTGGCCCAAAAATAGAATCTTTTCAAGGTGGATTCCTCTGACTATTTATAGTAAGGCATGCCCAGTTATTGTTCATCGGGGTCACACCAATTTAATGTTGAACTAGTAATCACCCGTGTGATGCACGGGAAAATTATTATCTATACGCTTTTTAGAAGACAATTTTGTATATAAATTGTGTAATGATGCAATGATCATGATAACAAGAATAGACATATAAACATATAATTAAACTGAAAAGATCATATATTATTGAACACTTACCTATATATAACATTATTGGTTTGATTCTTTGGCACGTCATCTTCGTCACAAATTAAGATTTTCAAACCTTTTCGGTTAGTGACACGGGAGACAACAACATATAATTGGCGATGACTGAATACTGGTTTCTTAAGAAATAAGCCAACATGAGATAAGGATTGTCCTTGGCTCTTGTTTATAGTCATGGCGTAATAAACCATAATGGGAAACTATTGCCGCTGGAACTTGAAAGGAATTCTAACATCAGAAGGAGTTATGGTCATTCTTGGAATCAAGACCTTATCACCAGCATGATCTCCTGTGAGTATCTTACACTCAAGAATGTGAGTGGACAGCTTTGTCACAACCAATCGTGTCCCATTACACAAACCCATAGAATGATCCATGTTCCGCAACAACATGACTGGAGTTCAAATCTTCAGACACAACTCATGGTTCGATATTCCGGAACACTTGATACTATTCAAAAACTCAAGCGTATGGAGATCAGACAAAAAATCATTATTAGAATCCGATTTGCACGTACTGTCAGAGCTCAAGTACATACGACCATCCAACAAATTCAATGATGTCATGTGCTCATTGATAGACTCAACCACATCCAACGTCGGCGCTAATATAGCCCTATCCTTCAAATAACTTGGATCGTCAGGTGCCTCTTTATACATTGGATATGTGCTTTCAACGATCTGAGCAATAGAATCATCAGATGGCTGAAGCAAAATGTCCTCGGGTATGTCTATAGGTGCACATCCATCATTCGACTCCCCAAGAATTCCATCTCCGATGTTGGCTATCCAATCTGCAAACCATGTAAGCTCATCACGTTCATCCGAATTAGCAAGTCCCTGAAGGCGCATGTTTTTCGTAAGCCTAAGCACAATATAACTTCTCCATATGTCAAAAGCATTAATGGCAGCATTGATTATGTCTTGACGGCAACCCTTTAAAATGACAGGAAGGATTTGTCGAAAATCTCCACAAAAAACAACCGGCCTCCCACCAAACGGTTTGTTCAAGTTCAAAGGATCAATTGCTCCCATAATACCCTGCAGCGATGTCTGTACAGCTTTAAAACTAGGGGTGAGCATCGGTCGGTTCGGCCCAAAAACCGAACCGAACCGAAAAAATCAAAAACCGAATTGTATTAGCCAAGAAAATCGAACCGAACCGAATAAGCACTAAAAATCGAACTACAACCGAACCGAAATCAGTTTGGCCACTGCAGTAAGCTATTAATAACAATCCCATTTTGCAAAACAACCACCATCAAGCATAAATAGTCCCCAGTAGCAAAAAATCCTTTCAAAATTCATATTTTGCTGGAAATTAAATGCAAATATCATTCAATTGGCCAAACTTTACAAGGACAGTGAGATGTTTTCCTAATCATAAGCCATAACTTGAGTCTCGAACATATTCAACGAAAAAAAAAGATCAATTGATTTAGGATTAAATCTAAGAAAGGCTTCGAGTCGAGATGCGGAGAAACGGAAATAAAAATCCCAAAATTAGGGGGCGGGATGCGGCTGAGATATGAGACCAAGAGTGAATTGATTTTTATTTTTTTTTAGATTAACAGAGGTTGGAGAGAAGATTGATCGAGAGCCGAGGCCCGAGAGAGAAAGGCATGGACTTTACCTGAACGGCTAAACCCGATGAGCGATGGCGGCTGATGTTGAGAAAGTGAGAATGAGAGTGAATGTCGAGAGTGAGATCTGATATTGTGAATCTGTGATTAGGTATTTACTATTTAGTTCTTAGTTTTGTTAAGATAACTTATTATTATCTAATTAAAATCAATATTGAACCATTATTATACATATGATATGTTAAATGATGTGTGCATATTTTTTTGTCTATTTGGGCCTATTCATAAGTCCACTTATACTGACACTTATAGTTACTTAAATAATTCGATTCGGTTCGGTTAATCCGAATTTTTATTTTAAGCAACCGAACCTAATCGAATAAACCGATATTTTCTAAAATGAAAATCAAACCGAATTATATAACATAAAAACCGAACCGAATTATCCTATTCGGTTCGGTTCGGTCGGTTAGTTCGGTTTATACCGATTATTGCTCACCACTATTCGAAACAATGCTTGTGCTGCATTGGTGTTTCATCCCATATTATTAGAGAAGTACGAAATATCAATTCCGCTAGAGGGCTTGACTAATTGATGTTGCAAGTAGATTCCTGGTGGGGATTCAATGGTATAGCAAATCGAGAATGCGCTGTTCGTCCACCTAGCAACAAAAGCGATGCTATTCCGCTGGATGCGACACATAAGACTATGTCGCCTTTAAATCTCAAACCAGCAGATAAAGTCCTCCACAGGTACGTCTTCCCAGTTCCACCATATACAAAAAAGAGCCCTCCTTGGCCGGATTCAACGGCGGACATTATTCTTGAGTAGACACTCTTCTGTTCGGTTGTCATTTTCTTAAGAGGCATATCGTGTTTAACAGCGAGGGCCTTTCGATCATAATTCAATTCATCCAAAATTAGACGATTCGAACTTGAATTGATGTTCTCCCTATCCGGAAATGGCACAATTGAGTATTCATGAAGACTTGACCCATGTCGTCTCAATAAATTCTCAATCTCAGCAAGGGCCAGGTTCTTGATTTTTTCTTCAATGAGCATCAAACCTATAAACCAATTATTTATGCATAGGAATAAAAAAATATTAACATGATTAGAACATTGTATATAAAGATAAAAATCAAATTATGATTAAACATATTATGAAAAGTAATTGATTACCATCATTATTTCCACTGCCGGGAGGTACGTATCGTAAACGGCCTACAGAGGGTTGGTCCTCATCTTTTCGAGGTGTCCATTGCCTGATTGTTATATTCCACACAAATTTTGATGGTGCCTCAACATACGTTAGTTCCCCTGCCTTAGGATATATTTTGTTTGCCTCGAACCACGCAAGAAATTGGCTTTCATCAATTGTGGGTTTATTGATAACATTTTCAAGATCAGCATCTTCGTCAAATAAAAGGTTATGTTCTCCAAATAAGTGAAAGTTCAAACGCTGGACGGGATGTTTTTTGTACTGCAACTGAAAACCCAACAACCGCCATGCCGCCTCACACGAAGATATGTACTGACAAT